AGGCAGCTCCTGCTGAAGGCGCTGGGGATGATGCTGCCTGGAGTGGCAGCAAGATCACCTGGTGGTTTCCAGCATCAGAGGATGGAAGGAGAAAGTGCGAGGCACCTAAAAATCTGGTACAGCAAAGAGTAGAGACTTTGCCCCACCACCTGTGCCACCATGGAGTGAAGAGCTGTACAGGGAAGAGCAAAGGAAGTTGCTTGAAGGCGCTGGGGATGATGCTGCCTGGAGTGGCAGCAAGATCACCTGGTGGTTTCCAGCATCAGAGGATGGAAGGAGAAAGTGCGAGGCACCTAAAAATCTGGTACAGCAAAGAGTAGAGACTTTGCCCCACCACCTGTGCCACCATGGAGTGAAGAGCTGTACAGGGAAGAGCAAAGGAAGTTGCTACGGTCCTCAGCTGCACTGGCCAGGGATGGGAGGGGGAGACCATGCAGGAGACCCAGACCCTGAGGTTAGGAGGGCAGCAAGGAACCCACCATACTTATGGAAGCACACACCATCTCCACAGGCACCCAGGGAGGAGGCTCGGTCCAGCTGGGCAGCGCAGAGAGAAGCACCACCCAGGCTGTATCTCAGAGAGAGTCCGTTCGCTTACGGGCAAACACAGCCGACACGGTCTTGACGATGCCACGGATCCCTGTACCCTTTTTCAGTGCCAGTTTGGTGTCAGGGATGCGCTCGGCCAGTCCATGGAAGACCATGAGGGCTCCATGATAAGCCTCGGCTGCAGAGACCTCGTAGAAACCACAGTCCAAAGAGAGGGCCAGGAGCCGGCCCTCCTCGCTGGACACCACCCGTTGGTGGTGCAGGTCGCGTTTGTTGCCCACAATGACGATGGGCACCTTCTCCTGGCTCTGCCCCTCCTTGGCTGCCTTGATGAATTGGATTTTGAGGGGCAGGATGTTGAAGCTGGCACGGTCGCAGATGCTGTAGACCAGGACAAAGCTGTCTGCCCACTGGATTCGCTTCTCCTCCGAGGAGCCCTCCTCTGCCTGCTCCTGGGGAAAGAGACAAGGAAGGTTTCTTTACCCAGCTCCCTCCCTCCACGACTGCCTGCTAGGACAGGGCATGGCGATCCGGAGCCCGACCAGCGAGCAAGCAGCAGCCAAAGGACAGAGAGACAGAGCAGCACCCAGGCAGGCAGAGCAGGACCTGGCAGACCTCACCAGGGGGACACGATTTGATCACCTCATCACCCAGCTGGCCGGTGCTGCAGGTGGTAACAGTGTGGGGACCTCAGAGCGGCACTTCCACTTTGTCAGCACGGTCCTGTGCTCGACCTGGGCTGATAACATTAGTGCTTCAGCCCCAACGTCCTCAGT